TGAGCTTGATTATGTTGTTACCATCATCATTTTAAAAAATTCCAATAACCTTCTTCTTCTGTGACATATATGAAGTCCAGGTTATAACAGGGTTGAGCTATATAGGCAAAATGGGAAGGCAGGGGGATTTATGACACAGTAAAATGTTGATGATTTTTGGGAGTTTACAGTCCATACGTGAGCTTATGCTTTACCTGTCATTCTAGCAAACTCCATCACAGATCACCATGACTGTTTCAGCACAATACTGACAATCTTGTGTCAGATAAAGCAGAACCAAAAGCCAGCAAGAAGAAAAGGTGCACCAAGCTGTGACTCATTCTAATATCAAGATACACTTAGTTGACATTGACAAAAATCACCACTGCCAAATTTCACAGGGGTGACCTGCGGAAGGTGCCCCACAGCAGGACTCAACAGCAGAGGTCTGCCTGTAGGTTTGTAATCCCCTCACCCGAGCCGTTGGATTATCTGCTCTCCATCGACCCTGAAGAGGCTCCCCGTGACTCGGGCTTAAACACTCTCTAAAATCTCATCTCCACACCCCATCTGCCGGCCGTACGACGTCTTGGAAGTCACACATAAGAAGGAGTGGGGACTGAAGCAGCAGAGCAGATGAGGAAACCAGAACACACAGTCTGGGGCTGTGTGCAGCAGAGAGAGCCCTTAGTAAAACACACAGTCTGGGGTTTAGGCATTATGCTCATCAAAATGAAAAATGACTTCAAGGATCTGTTTTGTTTATACTTTCCTTTGTAATACAAGTTCAAATCTGTCCCAGTACTTGTTGCAAATAAAGGCATTATCATCCTTAGTGCAACACATTTTCCAGTGGATTCTACATTACTATATCCAGGTAAATAACATACATAAATCATACATCAATAATTGCTTTTCTGGAGACTAACAAGTCTAAGTGGTGTCCGTGGCAATGACCCTTTAACATTCTCTGACAGGGGCCTTGTTTTGTGACCATCAGTGGACAGTTGGAGGATCTGGTGGTTGGCCCTGAGCAGTGAGGCATGTAGTAAGAGGGTTTAACTTTGCTAACCTCCTTCTGCCAGGTTCATGGGGTCCTGCTGCTCTGGTAATATTGGATCAGTGTTGGGAGCCCGTGCCCCTGCCATATCAGCCAGCACGCTACCTGGGGTAGTGAGCCGTTTCCACTATAAAGCCAACTGGGCTTGATACTTACTTGCTCTCTTCCTCAGAATTGATGTGATTCCTTTTCCATCTTGGATAGTATTTTACAGACTTAGATATTGTTTTAAAGATATATTATGCACAATTTTTACTCTTCCACATGTGGGAGTCTACTCAACAAATACTCTACCAGGTGATAAGATTTCTGTCTGAAATGGCTGACCTTCCAGAATTGATTCTGTTCTGTTTCAAAACAAAACAACAATATGCAATTGCTTCAGCAATTGATCTTCTCACATAGTAGTAAGTGGAATAGTAAAACTACCTGATAGCTGTTTGACTATTGCATTTTGCCTTCTCTTTCTCGTTATCTTTTGTTTAACAGCCTGTCATAAAACCCAAAGAGAGCTCACACTTGCAATTAATAATTATCTGGTGTTTCTGTAGCCTATATTTCTGTGAAAACTGTGGTCAAACAAGAATATAATGGAAGATAAAGGTTTGTTTTCTTTGAGAAAGGGGTGAGCATGACAGAAGTTCCATAGGCAGGCAAAACTGTACATTGAATATTATTACCATTTACAATAAAGAGATATGTGTGATATTTTTTCCCAATAAAAAAAATTGCAATTAGTCGCTTGTTATTTTTTTTGTTTGAAGAATATAAACTGTTTGAGCTTAGACGTTGTACAAACACTGTGTGTGAGAAGCGGTGAACCGTTATAACCCTTTAGCTAATCTTTTTGTTTAGTTTGGCCCAAATAACTGCTTTTATAATTGTGTCTTTACAATTCCCATTCCCATGTGCTGTATGTTTCCATTCATTTTCCATTAAGAAGAATTGGGAAAAAATAAATCTTCGTCATCATCAAAGAGTCAGATTTCCTTTGTAACTCTGAAACAGCACTGTTTTCACGGTAACATACTGTAATTCATCTTCATTAGGCATCACCATTAGGCCTCTGCTCTTTATATGTTATTTTACTCATTTTATCAAGAAAACATTACTTATGTGTATTGCTACTTTACTATGCTGTCTGGATAGCATAGTACATTTTTATGGTTTCAACTATATATTGTATAGTCACAAAGACTTACAGTGGATTTTTAAGGTACATATTACTTGCCAGATGAAACATCAAATAAAGCTCATGTTTTGTCAAGTATTCAAGAGTTATTAATACCACTTTCTCTTTCTTGGTTGAGTGGTTGTGCAATCATTCGCATGAGCTTCACTTGGCCCTGTTGTGGAAATTTGGCTATTGCTGCAGTTTGGAGAGATCTGTTGATATTAAAATCTGCAGGTGCTCACCTGGTGTCAGGAGGGATGGAAACAGAAGATTGTGCTGTCTGGGAGGTGTTTGGTCGGGCTTGGAGCCGTGTGCGTCCATCTGTCTGTATCTGTGTAGAGTCTAGGGTAAAAAGAACAAAAAACAAACAAAAACGTGCAGTGCATACAGGTGATGGTCTGCGGTCTCTGTTTGTTTTAGGAGTCTTTTTTTCTACTTGTAGAAATCTTTGTTTTTTTTCTCTTTCTTGCCCTTGATTTGTAGATGAAAAGAATGTGCTCCTCCACAGAGGAAAGTGGCAGCTTTAGCGTTGCAAGGTCAGAGAGCCGTGAGAATGTCAGGCAGAAAGGCAAGAGAACCCCTCTGCTGGTGGTGTGTGTGGGTGAGTGTGAGTTGTGAAGCGCATTGGGTGTGTATGTGTGGTTTGGATGTGGAGGTGGGTAGCTTACGCTTGTTTCTTACTGTAGTCTATAGTCTAACTGCATGTGTGAAGCTTGTCTTTTGCTTCAAGGTGTGTGTGCGTGTGCGTGTGCGTGCGCCTGTGTGTGTGTGTGTGTGTGTCTGTAAGTGTGTACCTGTCGCTTTGACTGAACAGGTGGGGCCTCTTTGCATGGGATCTAGACAGCCAGTCCGCCACACAACTGACTGTGGTCAGGCTCACTGTGCTCTACATGCAGTCTATGAGATACATTGTGGTTGGATGTCGATGTACTTTCAGCGGAGTTCACCATTCTTATGGCTCTATTCCACTTGTGCCAGTTGGTCCAAATAACAGATTTTATTTCATCGTGTAGTCCTTTGCAGTTTCATAGGACAAAAGCTTAATACTCTTTTTGTTTTAGGCTACATAAAAGTGAGAGATTTCAGTTCTAGGGGGAATCTTAGGGACTGATTTAGAGAATATATTTAATTATGATGTTTATAATAACATTAATTATAAGCTTCTCAGAGAAAGGGTTTATTGCAAGGATGTAATGTAGGCTATTATGTGCCAAATTAACTGTTAACTTGGATACAATTTATAACGGTTGTGTCTGTGTGCAACTCTGGGATTTGGGGGTTATTGAGGAGGCTGAATCTATTTCATTTTCAAAATACAAAATGGCTGTTAAAACCGAGAAGTGGACATATTTCAACTCCCGGTGGGACAATTTTGATAAAGGGTAAATGTTTAGGTAAATGATATGCTTAATATATTGGACTTGCATCTTAGAGTGAATGTTCAATCTTCTTGTTATATTAATATATTTCTTCAGTTCCGCTTGACTTTTTTTGCTGCACAACATTGTGTCATTGCTGCTGTAGATACTGCTGCAGGCTGAATAATGGCTGCGTGGAAAGACAGAAGAAGCACAGGTTTTTATATAAGGTTTATCACCTCAATGCAAGCAAGTTGATATAAAAAATAAAGATGACTAAATAAATAAAGGGCTGTTTCCACTTTGCGAATCGCATTGCTTCTATGGGTGACAAGAGAAGCTTGGAATGGCGATCCGTCAACAGATGACAATAAACTTACTACTAGTGGCTTCCTTTTTCGTACCATCCCAGTCACTAGCACCATTGGGTTCTCTGAACATTTAGGAGATTTAATTAAACCTCTTTCTAGTGCATCGAACATGTTTTTGGACAACTTCTTGGCCAGACACTCGAGAGGTCTGAACCTATTGTAATTGCCTCTCTCGGTCATTGGTTTTTAGGATAAAAAATTTTCGGTTCCCCAAAACATGCTTTGGGATTTTCCTACACAACAGGATGGCCTTCGACAGGGCAGTCAGCTTTTTTTTCTTTGGGATCCCACCTTAGTACAGCGTCAAATGACATTGTGACTAGTTTCAATTGTTTGGTCCATCTTACAGACTGCTCTCAGGATTTAAGCTGTCGAGAGGGGTCACTAAAATGGAATAATCATAGAGTAACTGTTGATGTGTAAATTACTGACGGTTAACTTTGTCTTTTTTTTAACTTGATTTACTTTATTTTTAATCAACTTACTTGCACTGAGATGATAAACCTTATATATGTGCTTCCTCTGTCTTTCCATGCAGCCATTATTCGGCCTGCAGCAGTAACTACAGCGGCAGTGACGCAATGTTGTGCAGCAAAAACAAAAAGCAGAACTGAAGAAATATCTTAATATAATATGCAGACTGAACATTCACAAAGGCATTGAGCTCTCGTCATTCTAAAATGCAAGTCCAATATATAATTTACCTAAAATCAACTACAAATTCCTGGCCCACCAGGAGATGATATAGGGTCACTTCCGGTTTAAAAAGCTATTTTGTATTTGAAAATGTCAGAAATGGATTCAGCATCATCAATAACCCCAAAACCACTCCGCCAAACTGTTTACATACATATGCTACATATTGTCCATATAGGCGATTCTGCTAATTCTGCTAATTGTGCTAATTGTGCTAATTGCCCAACATATGCAACTTAGTATCCGGTACTGTCTAATTGCTGGGGAACCATACTTTACATTTCTAACATAAAACCTATTGTCCACTCAACATTTCCGGGTTCACAACGAGGCTCTATTGGCTGGCCAGTAGACTACCAACTACGTCAGCGGAAGTATTCTGAGCGTGCGCAGGCCGGGGTCACATTGGTTCAGTTTTGTAATGTTTTGAGAAACACCACCATAATGGAGGCAGCTAACGCAGGTACTGAACATTTCTGTCACAAATGCTCGATGTGCCTCTCACGACATAACGTCAGCTAAGTATCTGAGTTAATGTAGCGTGACGTCGCTCTTTATACAGCTGTATTCAGCTCCGTGCAGGAAAGGAAAGGAAAGGAAAGGAAAGGAAAGGGTTATCTGGACTCGTAGTTAGCTAACGTTGGCTAGCTGAGTAACCGAACGTGGCTATATTGAAGCTACGTGGAGACAGGTGTCCATGAGTGTATGCTAACAGTCTCATTGACATGTAAGAGGCACGAACGGGTGCTAATGTTGATGCTGACTGTGTTTCTGATGGTTTACCTGTCTGTCTGTCTGTCTTTATCTATGCCCTGCGTCCTCAGAGGAGATCCAGCTGAGGCATGTGGAGACAGATGTCCTGATCCCCAAGATGATGAGGGAGAAAGCCAAGGAGATCTGTGCAGAGAAAGTTGAAGGTGTGGTTGTTAGTTTGTGTCTGTCTGCAACTGCTTTTTAACTCCGTAGTCTAATAAAACTTAAAGAAACTTTAGTTTATTTAAGAAACGCAGGACCACAAGCATTCCTTGCCTTGTGTTTGCTGGTAGTATTTACACCAGATTAATTGAAATGCATTTCCTTTACACATACTGTATTTTAGTATGGAAAATAGGTTTGCCTTCATTTGTTTGGTTTCCGTCCACAAGTAAGAAAACAAGTATGAATATGAATGATTGATTATTCATTAATTATTCCTGGCTGAATTCATCCTCACAAGCCGTGCAGAAATGTAGGTGATCAAGTTCCAGGTCCCCAGTGTTGTGCATAGTCACTGGAATGGCTTATTAGAAGTGAGCCAGCATAAACAATAATCAGTTACACCTGTGCTTTTCCTACTGTGACGGGTCAAAATCTCTGCTGTTAGAACAGGTCAATAGTACCAACGCTCACCTGGTGGAGCTGGCGCCCCATGTACCAAGGCTGAGCGGCCATGGGTTCCAATCCGACCTGTGGCACTTTGCTGTGTGTCATCCCCTCTCTGCCTTCCCCTTGTCCTGTCTATCTTCAGCTCTCCTATGTAATAAAAATATAATATCAATACTAAACAATGATGGTCACACCAGTGGCATCACAATTATATTAACAAATACATTTGGTCTTCAGTAAAGCCCACAGATCCTTTGGTATGTATTCATCAAATAAAAGTAAAGAAAATTTGAGACATCTCACTCATGCTACTCTGAGAACCGCAGGTTTTTCATCAACTAATTAGTCAACTTGAAATTTTATTATATAGAAATAATGAAGTTATATTGAGTGGTGTTTCTGATGTTTTGTCAACCCTACAGGTATTTTTAAAGGAAGACATGTCACAGTATGACAAGCGTGTATAAATTATAAATTGAATGATGGCTGAATTCCATTTAGCGTCTTCAGTTTTATAATCCTGGTATTGTGCATGGTGGGTCACTTGAATAGAACGTAGCCATTGTTGATGTTGTAACACCTGGGTTGTTCCTACTATGACAAGTCAAAATATCTGCTATAAAAAAGGCCAGACATAATATTAGAGACCTCTCTTCATATAATGCAGTACAGTTAAACACAACGTTATTTTTAAATCCAAGCTAATGAAGTCCCTCTGTAAGAATTATTTTAAGAGGTGTATTTGCTATATTTATTCTATAAAATACACCACTGTAACCAAGCCAAATTCTGTCCTTGTATTTTCTAGAACATGAAAGTTAAAGAAAACGTCAAACACCATCACATAATACTACCTGTTTGTTTAAGGTTAGGAACTTATAGCTTACCTGCAGTGGGTTTAGTGCATTTGCATGTCACTGCAGTATGACAGGATAATTAATATTGTCCCCCATTCTGATCATTTTAACGATGTTAACTAATATTATCCAGTTCCTCCTTACATTTAAGCTTCACAATAGGATACTGCTACCCACCAGTTTAATTTTATGGTCTTTATTTTACTTCCAGAGAAATTGACTTTGACTTTGGAAAAGCCATAAAAACCAAGAAATGCCCAGAAATTCAAATGCTTTTCAGATGATATGTACTTAATGTTTGCTTATTCAGGCTGGAGTCCACAAAGTCTGCTTATAAATAGCCTGTTCACTACACTTTTTGTCAGAGTTTGTGTGATTCTACAACTATATTTAATACATGGGCAGTCCAACAGAAAATATGATTCCAGGCCATGATGTATGGTGTCTTAATAGTTTAATAATCTCACTCTTCTAATGAGAAAATTAAAGATGGATTATTAAGGCATTTAATGTTATCATTCTTTTTCAAACTATAACTTTCACGTAGTTTTGCATAATCCTGACACCCCATTGTAGATGTAGATCATCTGCAACACTGCATTTAATTTTGTGGAGGCTTATTTGATATATTCCTTCTATGGACTTTATTTTAATCTTATTTTTATGTCCCTTAATCCTTTGACTCGTTATGGCCAGACTGTTTCCCGCTGCCATGAACTCCCACTTCCTGAGTCCTTTTAATTTCTCTGGATTGTGGAGCAGGCCAGCTGGCATGCTACTAGTTGCCCTCCTTGCAGATGGCTGCAGCTTTGCTCATGTCTTGTCTACTGCAGCAACACAGCAGCCAGATAATGACTAGGTTATGTGGTTTCTAGAAATCTGACGACAGCGTGTATGAGCCACTGTGTACTGCTCACATAGGGAGTCAGCGCACATGCAGCCCGAGGTGATGGGACAGACAGTGGCTGTGTGGGTAGTGGAAACCCCCCTCACATTACTAGCTTCTCATCCTACTCATTTTCACACCTATGTATGTTTGTATCTACACTAGGCTCCCGCATGTGTGTCTATGATTTTGTTTTACAAAGAAAAGTAAAAAAACAAACTGTCTCAGTACACATGCCTCTAAACAACCCACAGTAGTATATTGTGTTGTTGAAGCAGACGAGTACTGCTGACCTGTGCACTCTTGATAGTTTTATTTTACCTGACATGATTTTTCCTATTCCAATAATGAGTCATATTAGTGCTCTCACATGTCTTTCAGAACCAAACAATTGATTATGTGAGCAACCCACATACTCAATTAGCAACCACTTTCACATTGACATTGACTACTGTTATGTTTTTACAATACTTTGATTTGCAGCTACTTGGCTGTAAATTAAATTAATTTGATCTGTGATTTGATCTATTTTAGTTTACTGTTTCATTATTCAGAAATGCATATGTGTAGGGGCCCACTGGTGGCTCACCTGACTGAACTTGTGCCCCATGTGCAAGGGTTGGATACTGGCCACAGTGGCCTGAGTTCGGGTGCAGCCTGTGGCCCTTTGCTGCGTGTCATCCCCTTTGTCTACAGCTGCTCTAGCAAATGAAGGCAATACAATTCCCTGCAAAATAGTTCTAAAAAAACAAATGCATACATCTTGCTAAAAATCCAGACATTTATTTTCTGTTAGAACTAATTATGTATTTTACATCTTATACCTTCCTTTAAAGGTCAGAGTCTCCATAAATGCTCAAGCCTCTAGCTTCTGCTTTCTACTAACTGCCAAACTACACTTCTGCATCTTTAAAAATGGCAAAGAAATACAGCTTAAAATTAAGTTGGCTTCACACCTTTCTTTAGAAAGGCCTCTTCCAACGTAAAGCTAGTCTCTTAGAATTGCCTTTTGGTGTAGCTGCAACTAGAAAGGCAACCCTATGCAGCCTCTATTGGTACCATGGGACAGGGATGAGGCGTTGGCTGATTAGATTAGTCGCACTGTTCTGCTTCTCTAAATTGGTTTTTCAGTTGCTTTTTTCACATCTGCATCCTGATGAAAGTGTCTGTGTGATAACCATACTGATGCTGATAAAGGTAATTATCATGTCAGTTGTTTGAAAGGGGACATGGGTGGGCAATGTTTTTAATTAAATTCTTGAGAAAGAGCTTGCTAACAAGGTGAAGACTCAGAGTCTTCAACACCTTGTTTACAATGAGGACCTTGCACATTTAATATGGAATAAACCACTAGCCAGGGCACAATGTCACAGAGGCAGCTTTGTGGAAGGGCTTATCATTTGTATCTCAATTGACAATCACCATATTTAGTGCTCACCTGGTTTTACAAGTTGTGCTGTGGATAGAGACTGGGATGGGTCAGAGGGGATTGACATGTAACAAATGTTAAACATCTGTTCAGTTGGATTTGGACTGTCTCAGGTGTTTTGTATGTGCATTATTTTCAACTTAGTCACTTTGTGCCCTTTAAACATGGTTTTGTATAATTAAGATATAACTTCTCCAGTCTGTAAAGGTTTTCTAACAGTCCCAATATGATGTAATAATTTGGCTTTTGGCCTTGTCTTATCCATTAAAAACATGTCCTAGCTATAGATACCATGCAGAGTCTTATAATCTGCCTCTGAAAAACGTTTTGCCTGAAAGGAGAGACTGGCATGTCTGGCAGTAATCCAGGAATTCACAGAACCATAGTTCCCTACGTAACGTCTGTTGCTGTCCAGGATATGGCCACACACCTGGTAAAATGACAGATGACAGGTTTATCTGCTGCTTCATAAGCCTGTTTTATTGTCTCAATAACCCAGTGGTGGAGCCTTTGTTTTGTTGTGCTTTTCCATTGTTCTTTCTGCTGTAGCACACAAAAGCCTGAAGCTCTGTGTTGCCTCAATGTACAGCCATAAAACCGACAGGGACACAACAAGTTGGCCCTTTCCTCCATTTCGGGTCTAAATGGGGGACCCGAAAACAGTCGGGACATCCCATAGGCATGGGACTAATAGAAATTTGGCCTGGCAGTCATAACTACCAGAACAAAAGCAGTTTTCCTACCCATGCTGCAGCATGGTTCACTGCAAAAAGTAGTAATGCACGTCAACTGGCCTTCCAACACTGTAGCCATGGTTTAAAGATATAGTCGAACACATGAGCCTTTTAAGGAAGCAGTGGCTTGGCCACCATCTTTGCACTTTTGCAAAAATGGAGGGCTCAGGGTCAGTTAAGCTGTGTTGCCGATCTCACTCAATGGCCATACCCAGAGCTGAAGGAGGCTCTCTTTAGGTGGGTTGGGAGAGTCATCCTAATTGGAAGGTTCCAAGGGTCCCTGTCCAACAGACTGAGGAGTTTGGAGAGCCATATCCTCAGTGGGCACCTGAGACAAACACAGTGCAGCCATGCTTTCCCTCCACCGGCGGAAGCGCTTGTGAGTCACTCTGACCTTGACCCTCCTGTGCAGAATTTGTTTCTTCAGTGCAGCCTCTGCCAACCTGAGTTACCTGGATGAGCTGTATGCTGTTGAGTGCTCATTTGTTCTCGTCTGTACATTTTTGCAAGGATTACATTGATGAATTACTCTTATTTGCTTTTGGTTTGTGGGGCCTCTGTTGCACTTGCAGTGGCGTGGTAAATGTGTGGCTCTCCACGGCTCTCTGTCTCGCCTCTGACCAGCTCAGCCCTGCCCATGTTGGTGTTTCACTGCAAGGCTAAGCTCCTGCACTCGCACAGCGACACAGACGGAAGAGAGAGTTGACGAGGGAGCACTGTGCACGAATGTTTTACGAGTAAATCACCTGTACAGCTGCACGTGTCACTGTCTTCTACATGTTCCTTTTCTTAAGGCATTTAACGGCAGACTAGAGTATTTGTAGGCGTATATACTGCTCCAGATATTAACACTAACCAGATATGGGGTCAGGCTAGGAAATCTGGACAAGAACTGTGGACTCCACAGAACAACTGTTTAAGACAGCCTAGCTGGTGCTCGAGCCATAGGATAGGAAAGGAGAAGTAGGGCAGCTGGTCAACCTAAGCTTTAGAGTGCAACAAATTGAACTAATAAACATAAAGTCAAAAGCAAGATGACACCAACACAACAGTATGTGTTTACCTCCCTTGGACATGCAAACAAAATAAGTAACTGAAACACAGATCTATGGAGCAGTTAACCTGTGGAGAACATCCAGCTAACCGCGAGGTCAAAGAGGCCAAATGTAGGCTACCATGTGGCAATTATAGCTGGGACGCACAAGTAGCCAATACATCACGCATGTGACTTTGTTCATATAACATGTCAACCTAAGTGGGGCACAAGGAGACTTATCCCTTTTAATTACTGCCACTGGCAGTCAGGAATTGAAACAGAACCTATATTTAATTCTCAGGGCCACAGACGTTTATATTTGCGGGTAGTGGGCTGACTGTTACAGAGCCAATGTGGAAACTTGGCAACCACAGATAGAACCACTCTGTGGCCAGTACAGCTAAGTTCAGTCCCTGAGTGAACAAGGAAACATGGGTTTCAGTGTGATAAGATGCTTGGCAATGTGATCTATAACTAGGTTCCTTCTTGTGGTGGAGTGTCAAGGTGAGGCCCATCTTGGTTTGCTTGTGGGTATTTGTTTTCTTGTGTGTGCTTGTACTTTAGGATCAAATAACATAAGGTGAAAGGTAGGATGTTAATAGAATTGAAAAAAGTGCTATTAATAAATGTATATTTGAGGCTATTGCATATGTAGAGCCTGTTCCTTTTTTTCTGCTAATTTTGCTCTCTCTCTGCCACCTTCCTTCTCCATCTCCCTCCAGCCTTCAACCACTGCTGTAAAGAATCTGGTTTCCTCATGGTGTTAAAGTGTCGAGAAGAGAATGCTGCACTGAAGGAATGTCTGACAATACAGTGAGTATTTTGCAGTGACTTTTTCAGCACCCTCACAGTAAGTTGGCTGGACGTGTTATTCCACTAACATCTTTTACATGGGCTTTCTCAGCCACCCTCATGGCACATAATCGACATCAAAGTGATTTGTCATACAAGGATGCATTAATTCTGTAAAATAAATATTGTATTCTGTCTTCCACCAGCTATAAGGACCCTAAGTTCTTCGAGGAGTGTAAGCAGGAGTACATCAGAGAGAAACTGGAGTTTGAGCAGACAGGAATCCCAGCAAAGAACAGGAAACAAAAACTCCCAACTAGCATGTAATAAACGACATGACGTCCCTCCTTTCATGGTAAAGGTGTGGAGTGTAAGGATCTGGCCATAACCAGTCCTACAAGTCCTACACACCAAGGATACATGGTCATGTGGCAGGGTTTATTACTCATAAAGGCACAAGCCTTTGTACTTTATTTAAATCTGTGGAATTTCTGACTGAAACTACTTTGGTGGGGCCAGAGCGGTATATAATCAAAATAATGCCTGTTTTTATGTTCTGTATATTTGCAAAATTTTCTCCGTCAGATGGTCAGAACTATCTTCCTCCCTTGATTGAATCAGCAGAATTTACATTACATTTACCAATCAGCTTATTGAATTATAAAAAATACAGAAAGATACCATCATGGTACAGTCACTTCCTGTACCTAAATCTGGAAGATCTTCATTAGAGTGCAGCTAGGCGTGCAGTCATAAAGTGTACATGCAATGACAGCAAGGGTTCATCTGCAGAAGAAAGTTTATATTACCAAACAAAGAATTCAAAAAGACTGGTAAATGTAAAGACATTTGTACAGTGTATGTAAGAGACTCTGTCATCTAACCAAGAAATGAACCATGTGTAATCATGTTAAATATGTAACGGAATGTGACATTGTAAATAAATCAAATACTCAGTAGCAGTGATGTGTATTTCAGTGGTAAATTGGACATAACATGAAATGTTGATAAATTAATTTTACTGTTTTTATTCAATCAAACATGAATGAGGGGAATTAGAGGTTGACTGTTGAAAAATCTCAACAATAATTGTTTTAATTTAGGGGGACATTTCTAAACATTTTCCTGATTAAATTGGTTGCTCTTACTGGTTTTTATATGTTGAAGGCGTTTTTGATATTGAATGAGCCCAGCATCTGCCTTAAAGTCAGGCCACTCTAACATAACAGTCTGGACTTCTTACATTAAGAAGGATTTCGAAAAGTCATATTGCATTATTTAACCAGATTTATTTATTTATGAAAAATAATTTGAAAAGTGAAAAATCAATTTTGGTTCATTTTCTGTTCCATTATAACCACTTTTTCATGTTCTGTGCTTTCACATGAGGAAGGCTGCTCAGCCCATCTCATATGTTCTTTGTTCTACATCTACTTCAAAGGATCAAAGATGCAACATTATAAGTAAAAGTGTCAGATACTGTAATAGGGTATCATTGTATAATCTCCTAGGTCTTTGGATATGTTTTTCTCGTTATATTTCTGCAGCTGAATTGACTGCACAGTTGTAATCAATGGATGTGACAGGGCAGGCGGGTGAGGTTGGTTGCCTTATATTTAAGATTATTGAAAACAGGCCAGTATGCAACACTTAATTAATAATTACACTTAAAGGCAGTGCTGTTCCCTTACTCAATGTATAGTGTGAAATTATAAGTGGACAGTTGTATTATTACTTTAATCTAGTTTTTAAGTAATGGCAAATGCCAATCATTAGAGCCTAAAATTATTTTTTCAAATTGCTAGTCTGCAACATGTTCTTAAATCTGAAAATCAGCCAATAAGCCAATAAATTATTTCAGCCGGAGTATGGAAGCCAATTGTCTTGTAGAGATATTAAGCAAAATAAATGCCTCATAAGGATTACTGAACCACAGAACCTCATACCTAAAAATATGAATAGAGATAAAGCCCCACACAGTCCCTTCCTTTCCTTCGTTTAATTGTTCATATTTACAAACAGTCTGAAGTGCAGTAAATCTAAAATATAATCCATATCTACTGTACATTGCATTTTGGTTTGCAAATCGTTTACAGAAGTATGAAACTACTGCTGTAAAATAACATTTCTTTAAAATTAACAAAAAGACCACAGTTATCATGAAACAGACTGAAGAAAATGGAAAAACAAAAAATCTTTTCAACAACCATAGGCCTTTGTGCTTTGTGCACCTGTTTTTCAAGTCACAGCTCACATTTCGTCAGGTTAATAGACTTATTGTCTTCCCACCATAGCAGACAGCTCTTACACACATCAGAAGTCTTTGGGGTGGGGGAGAAAAAACAAAACCTATTGTTTGGAGTGCAAAACTGTGTTTGGCAGATTGCTGAAACCCACCATATACATTTATACAGACACACCTTCCCTCTGTGTATTGTGTTTTCTTTTGTACATCTTTCATTTTTTTCTTTTTACACTCATCTGACTTTTAAAAAGAGAAATCAAAGAGAAACGTCTGTCTTCACACTTGTGTCATACTGCAAAACAAATGTATCAAAGATTAACATCAGCACAGTACAGAGTTTAGATACATTTTCTGTAATTCAAAATCTCCACAAACTTCAACAGCTTTCCAACTTAATCAGGGTTTCAAATACAGGGGGGTGTATGGAAGCCTATTGAACGAGTCCTTCAAATTTAGTCCTACAGAAAAACCTCCAACAATGCACAGCCTTGCATCTACGTATCCCTCGGCAACTGAGAAAAGAAAACAACATAACAGATATTGTCTGACAGTAGCTCAGAGAATTGAATATGCAATAACAGGCAGGTTTAAGGAGGCTTGCTTGAGTTGTGGAATTTCTGTGAAACCATTAATAGTTGAACTTTTTTTTGGTGCCAGTGGAAGTGGAGTGTTTTATTTCAGAAAGCAATACATTTTTAGATAAAAATAATACTTTCCTACTCATTATGCAATATCCTCAAAAATCCAAACAACTGCACTCTCAAAAAGTATTCAGTAATCATAGGTAGATTGACAGCCTACTTTGATATTGATCTTCAAATTGACTTTAATGAAGATTTAAAAACAAGATTTCACATGGTTGCTGTTCAAATTTGGAACAAAGATCTGTGATTATCCTACAGTCACTGCATGTCTGTCTTCATCACAGTACAAAAACAATCAGATCAAGTCCTCATCCCTAGACATCTCCTTTGCACGGTCATGAGACATACATGGGACTACATACCTTGTATACTTTACAGCGATCAAATGTAAAAAGACTTGCATTGGAGAGAGTACAGTTTTACAAATTCTAGCATTATACTGTGGCCCCAGTGATGACTGGCCACAGTGAATGGAGAAAGAGGCCCTTTGAGCCCTATTATGTTTATTATGACGAGATACAGATACAGGCAGGCGAAAGATGCCCGCACACTGATCTGCAGACACAGGCACACTGTTTAATGTGTGTATATGCACACACAAATAAAACTGCTTGTATGGATGCTTGCACACACTTACGCATGTGCATACAAGGACATACATACGGACAAACTATTTATTCTGCTAGGGTCTCTCATCAATCTTTCCTCTGCAAAGTCAGATATGTTCACCGATGCGGTGTGCAGAGATCAGTCTTTACCTCGAAAAAGTCTCCTCTGGCCTCAATTAGTTCCCACTACCAGCAGGTCCGGTCCAGTCCAGCCCAGAGGAGTGGTCTTATCAACTTAAGGCAGGTTAGGTGGTAGCTATGTGGCAGGGTTGGAGAGTCCATTCATTTATCCATTCACTTATTTTCCATCCAATTACACATTATATTTAATTATGTATACTCTCATCAAAGTTCCTCTCAATAGGGCTTGGCCCACTCGGCATTTGGGGGGCTCCTGGGAGTGCAGTTTCCAATTGAAGATGAGGAGTTGGATGCAGCAGAGTGTCCCTCCCAGAACATGGCATCACTGGGTTTGGGGGGGCTGGGGAAGGACCGCGAGCTATCATCCAGGGAGGCCTGGTTCAGGGGAGGCGGAGGCAGGACGACAGAGCAGGTGTCACTGCCAACCAGAGCCTCCCCTGAACAGGTCTGGGAGGGCCAGGGCCCGTTGTACCAACAGTCCTCCCTCAGACTGTCCGGCAGGAGGGTGCCCGAAGGCCCACTGGCAGGGGGGCAGGGGCGGCCGGAGCACGAGGGGAGTGGGGGGGCACTAGGTGGGCGAGGCACTGACGCCCGGGGAACTGCGTGGTTGTTGTTCTGTTCCACGTCATCCAGACACTGGATTGGAACTGTTGAGGCAGCTAGAGAAAGAAGGAGGGGTGGAGGGATAGAAGGGGAGGGACAAAGTCAAGGATAGAAGGAGGAAAGATGAGAGCAAAAGTTGGATGTGACTGTTGTATGGCTGAGAAGAAAGCTTATTTGGTCAATTATTTTTGGTAAACTCAGTTTTTAATATTTGGCATACAGCTGCATTGAGTGCACTTAAACTGCAATTGTAGACACATTAATAAGAGCAATAATTGTGTGTGTGGTATATGGATAGATAATTAACAGCGATTTATGATAACTGGAAATAACTAGTGAGTTTAGTAGACTTATATCTGCATTAACAACAGCTATATGTCAAAGTGGATATCACATGACATTATTCCTCAGCTCGTCAGTTCATTTCTGCCATGCATTTTGCAGGTAAACACAGACAATTAATAATTCATCTTATTCACCTTTTCTATGTATAAGGTGGTGAGAAGTGTCTGTGAAAACTGGTGAGAAGACTGTATTCTTTTATTTACAGTCTGACTGTAAATTTCAGCTGGCAGTAGAAATTAAGCCATCTTCTCTTTCCTCCGATAGCTGGAAGAGGTCTCTTTTTGCACCTCTGTACTTATGTCTGTACTTATTTACACATGGATTAAACTTAGGTTTCTAAAGAGATTTAAAAACTCCAAGGTGCGTTCAACAGAGCCTTTTGATCCCTGACTAGATAATAGAACTTAGTGTACAAACAGAGAGGTGAGGGAAAAATCACACACCATGCAGCAGGCTACATATTGTAAAAGAAAACCTCTGCACCACATAAGCATCACTGCATATAAATCAGTAAATATTCAAAATAATAATTAGATTTTGTTCACCAGAACAGAGAATATCCATACACAAATCAAATGTCCTAATCTCACACACACACACACACACACATCATTGCTTTGCTATCAAATCATCATCTTGAGCGAATAATAAAGTTTAAATGAGTATCTCCTCCCGCTTTTTTCCCTACCTCTCTCCATCCACACATCATCTCTCCATCCATCCCTCCCTGCTACTCTTCCATGAGAGGGTCTCCTGAGTCTAGGATTTGAATAAAAGTGATTCCAAAGGAGGAACATTAGAAGAATACAGATGCACAATATGACTGAATAAATACATAGCTCACTCTCCTCTCCCTCCTTCTTCTTCCTCTCTCCCTTTCTTTGCCACTCCCGCTTTCCTCATTTCTCTCCATCTGTTTCATCTGAGTTACAGGATTACCCTCTTATTCAGTGGAATAAATAGGCCAAGATTTATTTTCTTGCCATATTTCGTACTAATTTTCACCTCCTAGTCTCCTCTTCTCACACTCCGAGGGAACTGACAACAGAGGTAATCTCTCCTAGGGTAGAATACATCATCACAGAGGAAGTGGTGAGGAGGGACAGACCATTTCATGAAGGCCTTTATCAAAGTGTTTGAGTACTTCGATAATATCCACAGTCTTATCACACCCTTATACAAATTGCAACAAGGAGCACAAGGAGAAATCTTCTCAGCAAGTAGTACTTCTCCGAAAACCCACCCCTTAACTCAAGAGTGGCAGTAGTAAGCCTCTTCTTTCATTTGATGTTAGCCACATTAGTTCCTGTCTAGAGAAGCAAGGTTTAAATTCTAGCCACTATACTAAAAAGGGCACATAGACCATAAATCTGACACTACCTGACACTGAGGTTAAAGACACAGTTTCAAATGTCAGATTGGTTAAATACGCTAACACTTGTCAATATATTTATTTCACTGCTTCAGGTTGGTTAGGAAAAGCTCACTGTGGTTGTACAGTCGCTAACTATAGCCCCCTCTCTTCCAGTCTACAGGTGTCTCCCGTAATCTTTTTGTCACCAAGTCGTCCCTTTTTTTAGTATTTATAAGTATTATGGATATTTTTCATTTTAAGTGGGGTACAGAGAAGCTGGTATGTAAAAAAATCTACAACAGGTCAAATAAAGAGATGCAAAAGTACAGGTACATTACATTTCTGAATTACACTTAAAAGCAAAGTTTACAACCGTTAATGCATTTTTTTAAAAAAGCCTTTAAAAAGGAAAGTGTTTCAAACAAAAGAAAAATAATTACCTGGGCCCTTAAGGTTAAAGCAGAATTGCCATGTGTTTCTATACTAGTCTGACTAGACTTAAGGAACCTGAAAAAAAAAAGATTTCAAGGCTGCACTTACTGCATCTCGATGATGATCTGTGAGAACTTGCTATAAGGGAATATAGAGGGCACAGGATACCCTCAGCGGTATATACCACAGTGGAGGAGGTGTGAGGCAGAAGGGGAGCAGTGCTGGTAAGTTATCACATATACACTCTCTCACACACACACACACACACACACACACACACACACACACACACACACACACACACACACACACACACACACACACACACACACACACACACAAACACAAAACGTGGGGACGCTCTGGGTTGTGCCACTGTTTGTGTGTGTGTGTGTGTGTGTGTGTGTGTGTGTGTGTGTGTGTGTGTGCATGCCTCACCTTGTCTTGTCTCACTGATGAGTGGCCGGAGTTTCCTAATCAAGCCCGTTTGGTGCTTCAGCTCTGAATGGAGACGAGTGACCTCACAGCACAAAGCCTCATACGTCTGCTGCATGCTCCTCTCCCTACAGAAGGACAGAACACTTCATTTAAACATTATGCTTACGAGATTTCTGCTTTTCTAGACAGCTCTCAGGCAGGATCTCATGGTAAAGATCATAAGCTGTGTATCATACAGTACCATTCAAATATCCTTGATATTATTATTTGTTAAATAATAATTATTATAAAAAAAAGACATTTTGTGCTTAAAATCAAGCCATATTTAATTACACGTGTTTGTTAAATTCCAAGATGTAAAACTGACACATAAGACATGAATATGTTCAAAATGTGTTATCATAGAAACCTGATGATTTTTTGGTTAATATAGTTATTTCTTTGTCATTACTGTAATTCTGCTAAATGGTTCCTTTCTTTTTCTTTCTTTTACAAAGCAGTTTCACGGGGGTATAATCACTTAACAGCACAAGTTTAAATTACTAAGGCAAAACACTCTTCTATAGTAATGATGGTGTCTTTGTTGACACAAAAAGGATGTACTGATAGATTACATGCTACACCACACAGCTGCTTTACAAACACAGTGAAAGAGTATGAGGCAACACCTACAAAAAGTCCTATCCACACCTTATGTTAAGATGCAAAATCTCATCAACACTTTGCCTTAACTTTAAACACCTGCCTAAAAGCAAAAAGCAAAGAAAAACTGTGAGGCAAAACTAACACCAACTGAAGACTGCTGACATGTGAAACATTTATAATGCACCATAAATAGAATTTTCTTCATGAAAAGGTGGGGAGACAGTAATTTACGGGAGATTATCCCACACTTGCAAATTTAAACTATTTCTGAAGGACACACAGGCATCCACGTTCAGGGTTTAGCTGGTATAAAGTTCTGGTACTTCTGAGGTTATCGGCATATCATAGGCTGTTATGCAGACAGTTAAAATGTATAAAGCTGCACCCTCCTCTAGTGGCCAAAGGGGACAATTACAACACCAGCAGACACCACTAACATGTTTAATAATACACCTGTTTAACCAGTGTAGTCTCTCTCACATACAACCAAGTTTGTTCCTCGTGTCACTTCTTGTAACTTTGTTTAAAATGTTAAAAACTCTGAATTTTAGGAAACAATTCATCTAACATTAGGTATGATTTTAAAATGTTCTTGAGAGAAGTCAAAGTCCTAATATTTGTTGTATTTGCAGTTGAAGGCATGGACTGGAAATGCCTGCCATGTGTTGCATTTAAGTGCCCAGTGTCAGAAAATTAAACACAGAAAACTAAAAACATTAGGGCAAATAAATTTTAGCTGCACAGGAAGAAAAAGTATTTTAAGTAAGAAAACCAATAATGAACACCTTGTATCTTTATACTGACGGTTGCCTATGACGACTATCATGGCCTTAAAGATCATCATTTTATATACCAACAGAGCTTCCTTGCTTTGCCATTTTTGGTCACTGAAATGAGGACTGGGCTTTGAATTGGCAGCCATTCTCAATGATTTTCATAAAACACTATACCTTGCATTATACTTTGCATCACAGGTCTGGTCCAAGTCTGGTCCGTTAAGGCCATGGGGTTCCTCCTAAAACAGAGTTAAGTTATGCAAAATAGAGAGTGGATGTGGGTCTAAAGTTGTTTTTAAGTATTTTTTTTATTAGAAGACCATTCAGGAACCCTCCGCTCTCTTTCAACCCAAACTCCCTTTTCTCTTTGTTTCTCTCTTTGATCCTTAAACAATTACTTTTTTCTGCTGTTTAAGTTGTAGCATATCCACCCCTGCCCTTCTCTCTCAGTCCCACTTCTTTCCACTACTCTTCCCAGTTTCCCAGTGTCATCCTGTCTCGCTGTGCCCTAACACCTCTCCTGCACGTTGTTTTCCTCTCTTCTAGTTATGCCACATCTCTCCAAGAGTCAGCTGTTTTTCGGCGCTGCTCTCTCCAGTCCCTCTTATCTAACCTCTTCTTCTCTCTGTCCTCCTTTTTCCATTATCCTCTCCTTTCTTGCCACTTTCACTTACCCCACTTCTCTCCAGGAGTCTACTGTTTTCCAGTGTCACCCTCTCCAGCTCCTCCTGCAGTTTGTGGATCTTTAGCTCAGTGGTGACCCTGTCCACCTGCCAGTAGTCCTGAGGGCTGTTCAGGCTATTCATTACTACACACACACAGACACACACACACACAGACACACACACACACACACACACACACACACACACACACACACACACACACACACACACACACACACACACACACACACACACACACACACACACACACACACACACACACACACACACAATAAAAAAACTGTTACATAGTTACTGGTTACTTTTTGTAGAACCATTGATCTTGAAAATGTTATGTGTTCACATTTTCCATTCAGTATAAAAGACATATCATTATGATTATCATTTCAATGACTTTTGCTGTATATTCATTGTAATTACAGTGAATCAGTTATTTGATAAGAGAAGCAAACACAATTACATACAAAGCCATACATTTTTTTAAATAAAGCTAATATATGGTTTTGTGATGTGTGTGTATTTAAAAGTAGAAATACAACATTATATGAAAAGTAAAAATATATTATCAGCAAAATGTACTTAAAGTATCCAAAACAATAGTGTTTGAATGTTGTAGCTGGTCCAAGTGGACATAACTAACAAAGTTTTAACTAATTTCTATACTCGTAAGATAGTTAGTTTCTCAGATTTGTTATTTTATTATGATCTTGTAGAACAAGTAACAAAAACACAAACAACTAGATACTAGAGGTTGCATGTAAAATAATTAATTTCCTGACATGTAGTGCAGTGGAAGTACTTTAAGACTACTTAAGTACAGTACTTAAGCAAACACATTCCATTGTTCATACAGCGTACAGAAGTACTGCTCAGCTGTTACAGAGAGTACAAGGCAACCCTGTGTGCTCTACCTGTACCTTGGCTGGTCTCCATCTCCGTCCTCAGCTGAAGCAGCTCCAACTCTTTGGACTGGAGCTGCTCCGTCAGCAGCCTCTCACTCTCACTCTTCTCTTTTTTCTGGCAGAGAAAACAAGTAGACAGTGAGGTAGAGGGGAAGGCAGATGAAGGAAGAGTCAGCATTCATACAAATGCACTGAACCTTCTCTCTATCTCTCTCTCTCTCTCTCTCTCTCTGTCCCAGGTAAGATCAGTGCACCTGTGCTATTTGTGTAACGATATGAACTTGCAGTTTCTGCTTAAGTTTTGAATAAAAATTACAGACAAAGAATTTGTTACAAAAAGAAATGATCTGACTAAATATGCAGTGTTTGCGACATACTTGATCTTTGTGCCAGGCTCTAGTCAATTTGAAGAAAGATTCAAATAATCAGCAAACGCACCAGTTTGTTAAGCTCCATCTGCAGGTCCTCCTTCTCTATATAGATACCTCGGTAAGCACTGAAGGCCTTGTTCACATACTGTGGACCCTCTGATGGAGGAGCCTCTGGCCTGAAGAGCTACAGTGGTGACAAAATACACAGAAGTGAAGGAAGATCAATTTCATTTCATTGAAATATCTGTGGTAGGAAGTTACTTTCCTCCCACCACATCCGATCTTGATGGGCCAAATGCTGCAGCAGATAAAACCGAAACTGATAAAAGATAAGACTTCTAGAGAAGCAGCTCTGCCCACATGTTGTGCAGCACTTTCACTTTAGCCTACCATCTGTATTAAGACCCTTCCTGTTTAAATGGCTCACTCTGTATTGTACTCAATTCTTTGTTTTAAATCCAATTTCAGGAGGTTTCTCCCCCAAGTGTAGTGCTCCAACACATTGTTTGGCAAAGCCATATTTTTCCAGACCTCCTCTTTGTTTTTAGACAGTGCAGATTTATTTCTCATTGTTTTATAGCTTTGACTATAGGCCAACAATATTAATGATGCTGGCATGCAGACTCTCCCAGAGGCGAATATTTTGCAGTGTGGTGCTGAATTTGCTGACTTTTTCTAAACTTTCTCAGAGCATTTTGTGTATGTCCATAATTCTGATGTCCTGGAAAGTGGAGTTTTCATTAATCTCTGTCTATTGCACACCCTGCTTTCTGACTGTTCAGCCATCTGGATAAGCACTATGTTCCTTGACTTCATTCTCCTCACGCTATTATCTCTTTCTCCGATCTTCTCATGCCTCTCTCCCACCATCACCCATTCGATTACATCTATACCTTATCCTCCAGCTGCTTCACCCTCTTCCTCAGCAAGGTATTCTCTCGCTCTGTGTCTCTCAGCCTCTTCTTGATGTCCTCATAGGCCGTGACCAGGGCAAAGTGGGAAGCAACAGATTCATCGCCTGCACACACCGATACAGGACTCTCGCCAGCAGCGGTGTAGGCCGTCTCATGTTTAAGGATGCAAATGTCATCATCCACTGCCAAGGGCTCCATGCCTGCACAGGCCTACTCTGTAGCAGATAGAAGACCTGGGGATTACATGAAGAGTTTCATTTTTAAAAGTGATACATCTTTTTTTTGTTTTTTGTAAAAGCCAAAATGACTTAATTAAACATTTGGTTTGACAAGTTAGCACATACTATCATATAGCATTTGTATGGCCTTGTGTGTTACATTGGCTTGTTACGTAGCTTTGTAACTAGTTTCTGCACATTATTGTGACATGTTAGGGGATAGCTGCACGGTGCTATGTTTTGTACTACATATCCCACAGATCATTCTGTGGGATATGTCCTAGTGCTGTGTCTTTGTTTGGCTGTAACTGCTGTAGGTGACAATATCCTCTCATTGCATGCCTACAAAGGGATGGTCTTCTATTTCTTCCATACAACCACTGCTGCGGGAAATGTACAATGCATCGCTTCCTATGCACAAGGGACATTTTCAAAAGGAAAGTGCTACCAGAGATGAAGAGTTTAGAACAACAAATGTACAACAGTTTCATGATAAAGGTTTAGACTGAATCCAATCAGATTTAACATCAATGATCTCTAACTCTAAACTGGTTTATTGTAGCAGTTTGAAAACCTAACCTGTTTGGCAGTGACACACAAATTAAGTGAAGTGTATTGTATGTAAACATGAAGTGAAGCACAATACTAAACAGGCCTTTGTATGAGTCTGGTTTTGAAAGGAAACTGTGACTATGTGGTAGAGTTTCAGCTTGAACATTTACAAATTATAGACCTTTTTAACGTTGTCCCCTAATTCTAAAGAACCTAATGTAATTGTATTATTGGCTGCCCAAATGTTTGTGATGGTGTGTTTTGTTTCATCATTATTTCATGCAAGAGTCGAGCAAAAGATCTAGAGTTAATTCAAGGTGTGAGCACACTGACTGAGATAGGCCTCAAACATCATCAGGCCGCATATGGAGGAGCTCAGTGCTGCCATCATCAGGCCAACCTTACGATAACAAATATATTTCTAGGACAAAGTTGACTCAACCTCCACCAAACTTCAGTCCCGTGGCTTATTAGAACCTATTTTTTAAAATATGTGACAATTTGGTTGAGACACAAATCAAGGTGAGAGTAAAGGTGTGCACACATCTAAATATTTTAATGAAGCATTAAAACATTTTCATTTTCATTTTCATAAACAATGTCCGACCTACATAATAGTCTATGTGAGATATATCTAGGTGCTGTCAAGAGAAATTGGCAGCTTTGCTATTTGTGATATCTGAAACGTAGTTGAGGAACATGGCCTTGGGCCCATGGCTGCTTGCCCTGTAACCCTATACATAAAATACTGTACAACAATATCACACTATTTGTGGAATATTTTTTTTCTCAGGTGTTAAATACAAAAGGTAAACTTTTATTGTGCACAGGTATAGGGGAGCCAACTGTCTCAAAGAGTACACGCCTGTTATAGGGATGTGACACAGCCCAGTTGACCCTCAGCAAGAATTGAAGCAGTCTAGTCAGACTACCTGAAACAGACATAGCCTAAAACTAATCCAGACCCTACACCCTCCTGAATCCTTTCTGTTTGGAGTGACTCGGCTGCAGAGACGGTGCAGCTAAAGCCAGTTGATGATGTCAGCATACAATGATGCAGCAAACACCGAGGAGCCAAGTTTTTAACACTGAAGGCCGAAGCTTTTGGAAAAATAAGTTTCAGGACAATAACTGGACGAGATATTAGTCCCATGTCATGGATACGAAACATGAAAAAACGTAAAGTAAATGCGGAGCCGCTGACTCTGAAGGACGACTTCAGAAAATGGTACGAAACGAAAGTGACCCCCAGCAAGTAACGTTACTAAAAACGAAAGTCAATGTGAGTCCAAAACAAGACACAAAAAGCAACGTCATTTCGTTAGACCACCCTCGAGAAAAACAAGAGAGCTAACGGATAACAGGACAATGATAGCTACAAACATACCTCATTTCGTTCAAACAGGGATTGAAAATCAGTCCGAATCAGGATGTAAACAATGAATCTCGTTTGTATACGATGCTAACATTATGGTGTTAGCTTCCGTGATCTCTGTTGACAACCGACACAACACGTCACGATGTGGTTCTAAAACAGGTCTCAGCATGAATAACACAATCAGCAGACAATGACAGAGAGACACAGACAACATGCATCAATAGCTTCGGCGATTAAAAGGATCGATCTGTAATGATGATAACAGTTAGCTAGCGCTTAGCTAACGTCTTCTGGCTATTTGTGGCTAGGTGAAGCAAGAGCAGTCGATTATTGTTCACTCTCGACTTTCACAAACCGTGTTAGATGCTGTCCTCAGTTAGGTGGCAGTTGGCCAGACAGGATTATCATTTATTCTTGAAAAAAGGAGACTCGTTTCTCGAAGAAAAACAAAGAGACGAGGCTGCACACTCGCATCGTGCCAGAATTGACAGGTGAGGAAACAAAAACTTCCGGGAGTCACTTGACTGCTTAAGTCCTTTCAAAATAAACGCACGGCAATGATCGGGGCAAACTCCTTTGTATGAATCAACAACGCTGTGTCCGCGATTTAGTTGGACACATGTAAAAGAGGAGGAAGCTCTGCTGGATTAAATAAATAGTTAATAAAAAAAGTAATACGTTTACTGACAGGAAATAATACTTTAGAGCTCTGCGGGCTTTCAGTCAGTAACATTACAGAGTTGACAGGAAGGATTTTGGTGTTGAGCTCAAGCCAACTACAGTTTCTGAGCAGTGTGCCTTAAAGTACGATGTTCCTGTTATGTAGAAATATTTTCCAGATGATGGTACCAGAGTAAATATCAGTGGGTCATCAAGTCAGTGGGCCTTACCTTCACATTAGCTAGCCAGGTTAGTTAAGTTAGTGAGTACCCAGGACCGACCGACATCAACGTAACTTTTCCCCTAGAGGAGCAAAAGAACAAGAAGCAAACAATAGAAATATGTCTAAACTCTCCTGAACAACTTCAACAACGACTTACTGTAGGAAGAGCTACTTAAGTGGCGCTGACCATAGACTTATAATACAAAGTATACTGAGCATGACTAGACAATTTTTGCTCACTTGCTAAGCTAAGGTAAGGCTACCTTTCACTGTCGCTGTCGAAATATAATATCATGTCCTTCTCATTGAAAGAAAATAAATGAAAATAGTTTCATTTAATAAGGCAAAACACTGTTTTTGTCATATTTTGTCACAGTTATCGAGCTGGGAGATATTGAGCTAACCTGGCTAACGTTAGCTAACGTTAGCTAATGAACCAATCATAACTTAGGTTAATGTTAAATGTCATCTTTCTTTTTGGGTTTAACCACTAACGTTACCTGTTACTGGTCTTAATACTGGATTAAAGTAACGTGATGCAATTTTCTGAACCCAGTGAACCTTTTTGGTGATCCCTATTATTTATAACAAATATAAATATGATTTATTATAATGATTAATTATATTATTTGTAATATGTAATATATTATTAATAATTTAATAATGCACACATATGATAATTTTAAAATGTATATATATAGTAGATATTTATTTTTTATTTTAAAATATTTTACAAAATATGTAGAAATATGGACCAGCCCTACACTGTGATGTCTGCACAGCCAAAGATAAACAAACGATCAAACTGTTGGTAAACGCAAATCCTCTAATGCCACTGCTCCTTGGACTGTGTGAGATCCATTTCTTCAAGTGTACATTTGTGATAACTGAAAAATAATAGGTGATGATAATGGGTTTGAAAATTGCTTACCCTTTTAAAAATAAATAATGAAATAATAATAAAAAGCCCTGAGTCACTGGAAAGTCCTACAGGAAGTGCAACAAAATGTGTTCCTGATGGCATCTTTACACTTGGCATGCACACTCAGATAAGAGTTTTGAGAGAATGCAATAAAACTGGACAAAGTATAGAATCCTCAGATAGTTGGTTTATTTATTAACAGATTTTTATGACTTTAAGAAAAAGAGAAAATAATATCTATAGTTACTAAATGTCCAAACATGGGGAAGTGAAAGAGAAACATTGGTTTACTGTTCTGGCATTTATGAGAAGAAAGTGGTTGAACTGGGCAGTACAGTATATGTGTATGTAAATATCACGCTCTTGTGCCAGCCAACATATTAATATAAGGATTTAAATGTTAGCATCCCAACAATTTTAAAAGTTTAAGAAAAAGCAAAAAACAACACTAACTTCTTGTGCTCTAATAATTGACAACTTGCTTCCATGATTTCTAATGTTGGTATTACTTCATTGTGTTCTTGGGGAGTTTGTGACTTGTTTGTTTTGCTGTATTGACTGTTGCACAATATTTCTTTAACATGCTTTATTAATCATTTTAAAAGCCATAGGTGTCAAAGGTGTGAAATACAATCCCTGTGCGGTTGCTGTGGACGAAGCTACAAATATCAGTGAAATGACATGTGGAGAGGAACCCGAGATATGGATCGTAAAGACTCATGAGTGTAAGCCTATAAACACTTGCAGTTTTACTCACTTCCTTTTGACTGTGGCACATACTAGTTTAGTTGTGTAGGCTTTTCTATTACAGTATAAAGCGTTTATTTTATGCCTTTCCATATCTAATTATTAGTCATATAGTCATATCATTTTTGTTGTGTACCTTATTCTACACTGTCCAAAGTGGGTATTAAATGTTTTTTTAGGCTTAACATAATTCTTAATTTAAGACTAATGTGGTTAGAGGTGAAAAGACATGAAGTGAAGTCATTTTATTGCTTTGGCATCTTCAGACTGGGTTTCTGTGTCAATATAATTGCAGTGTTGTCAAAGGCTCAGTTGCTGATGAGAGACATAGAGAAGCTGCTGGACTGGTGTACATCAGAAGGCCCCTCCAACCAGAGAACGTGCAGAATGGTATGCATAAAGAGTGGGGGTGTGAATCCTCGGGCAAACCTCATGGAACCATGTGACTTTGACCATGACCACAATATTTCCATAACTTTAACTGAGTAGTTTTGTTTCTAAAATCTTAACCATACTGCCTCTATGGAGCTTAGTTGGTCACATGGTTCCATGAGGATTGTCTGCTTTCTTCTGCTTGTCTTCCTTCTATTGACACTGCATCTCTTTTGTTTGGTCATTGGTCAATCAGAAAAGTGGATTTCATACATTTCATCCTGTCTTTAAAGCACATAGTGAAGCAGATACAACTATTACACTGAAGACCATAAGTGGTCAGGTTCCACAAGTTCCCTATAGTTGCATAGCAACACAGTTAATTTGCCCTCTGAGCTGCATAACACTAGCCTGAGATATAAACTGAATTGCCATCAGTGTAGTTGTCAGTTGACGTAGAAGCTGCTTAACTATTTTACCATTTAAGCAAAGGCTCTCAGCTTCTTTTACATGGTCTTCCATCAAAGCGATCAAGGGACAAACAGATTTAAGCATTAAATCCTCCTGACCTATTTCGTGAAGTACCACTGGGGCCAACAAATATATAAAACTTTTTCTAAAAGTAGGAGAAAAATATCTTTGCTTTAAAGACATGCCTTCAGTGCATGGTATTTTGATTTAGGAGCTGTTATTTACTGTCGGTTGATTTACAGCAGCCTTGATAGCTGCGTCGATTTCGTTCACGCTTGATGCCATATTTCTTTGGATTCTGGCTGTGGCCCAGTGAAATGATGCTCTCAGCCTCAGTCCCACCTACAAAGGCAGTGATTGGCTCAGTTGTCTCTTCATTCTTGAAAGGGCTTTTAATCTCGCAAACAAAATTTGAAATATGTTTTGAGTCAGCTATAACTACATTTTTTTTATCAGGAAGCATGCAATCACATAAAGAACCCTCCCACACAGTTTTAACAATGACAGATGTACACATGACCTTGTTATTATTTTATGTGCTCAGGCACGCTGTGCACAGCTTGGTCTGATGTGCATGTTGTTGTGACAGATTCAGCAGGAGTGTCAGGCCAGCATAGAGGAGGACGGAGAGACCTTGGTCATAGAGGGCTTCAGGTTTGAGAATGTGGCCAGCAAGGAAGACCTGATGAGGCGGATTCCACAGGCTGGTGCAAGAGGAATACCAGGGCATCACATGACTGATGGATACCTTAGTGGTTTTATCACCCAAGTGCAACAAGGTCAAACAACTGGCAGAGGTAACAATGGCAGAGAAAGAACCAACAAATGACATGACTTAAAATGATGGGAGAAAGGCTAACAATTGACATGTGTAGCTCCTTATAACAAACAGAATAAGGTATGACACCTTATTACTGTATCTAGAGGATATAGAGTATTTTTAGATAAACATTCTAATTGTTACTAAATTAGTTATTTTTTTCATTGTTGCTTGTTTTAAGACATTTGAATATTGAGAGCAAGGTTTGAAAGTTTTTGATTGCATATATTAATATTTGGCACTATAACGTTTGTCTTTCAGAATATAGTCATACAGTTGACTTTGAGTGTTGTATTTATGATGGTTCTACAATATATTCCAGATGTGAATATCGTTATTGTTAGAATGCCATTGTTTAGGCTAATGGTGATTTCTTTGCATTATTTATTTCACTTCTTTTAGTCTTGACCACCTCAGCATTGTACATTTAGCAGTTGCAGTAGTTACAGTACAGTTCTATCTGTTTTATTTCATTTAGAGTATTTCCCTTTAAATATTGTGTGGGTCACACACACACAAGGTCCTTCTGTAAACATCAACACACTGAGTAGGTTAGATGGGGACATGGCTATTTCTGATTACACAGAGTTGTTGGGATATTTACTATCAGTGTCCTTCCTGTTCCCTATTGTAGATCATCTTGCACCCTAGAAGCACCTCTGGTGCTTTGAGTATAGTAAAGTATCACAGCCCTCCACACTTTTTAATGCAGTTGGCCTGAAGAAAAATGGTAGAAGAAATGAATATGACAGTGCTATACTTCGTTATCTGAAGGTTTATAAGAAATCTTAGAATCTTATAATTGAATAACCTGAAGTCTAGACCTTTACAGTTCATAAATACAGTTCACTGCATTGGAGGACGATTATAACAGTGAAGTCCCTTAAATATGTTGCTCTTGCTCAGTCCACTTTGCAGTTTTTTTTCCTGCTAGGCCAGATTACTCCTCTGCTGATGTTGGTGAAAACATTTGATATGAATTTAAAATTCATTTGTAAATTTGTGATACCACATTGCATCATAGCATCGATTCACAGTCTTTGATGAATGCCATATTCTAAATATTGTAATACTGTTGTGTGCAGCTTTAGAGGGGAATAAAAGATAATTGATCAGATTTGTTTACTAACTGTTTGCTTACAGCATGTTTTCTATGTTTTTACTTTAATTATCAAATTTCATTCTTGTTCAGTCTGCAGCAGAATTGAAATTATAGCAAAATGGTCATCTTACAATTATGGCCGGATTTTGTCATGGGAGGACAAATACAGTTTCAGTGAGAACAGTAT